CCCCCCCCCCCCCCCCCCCCCTTCCACAGATACACACAAATCAAAGCGAAAAATGTGTACCATCCATGCAGCCATCTTTCAGAATCACAGCTACTTTCTGGCAATGTACAGTCAAACCTGCTCTCGCAGCCACCTGTATATATATATGAGACAATCAATCGGCCACTTTCCAGTTCCACCCTTGCATATGTTTTTGTAATGACACTGTGTAAAACGTCCACTGCCTAAGACAACCATTTTTCTCCTCAACAACGGGTGGCCATCTTACCCAACTTCAAGGGTATACAAGCACAAACTACACAAAAGAATAGGCTAGGCCTTGTCCACACACATATACTCAGACCTGTGAGGAACTTGGTCTCCTCAAACTGCACTGTCAGCATCCCTGGCCTTACATCAGTGACCGGAGCATTGTCCAGTCCTCCTGAAACACCACACAGGTCCTGCAAGAAACACGAGTGCGTTGATATTGCTCAGTTATATATCAACAAATACCTTCTCCACCCACATAGATTCTAGATCTATAGATCTTAGATCTAGATTATCTAGATCTATATACCTTTATATGCTTAAGTACAAGTTAAAAGACAGTCAGCTAGGTTTTAATGGCATAAAAATAAAATAAAGTTAGTAAAGCGCTCTGTAAGTCTAGAGTCTAGTCTACATCTAAATCTAGATCTATATCAAGATCTAGATCTAGATCTAGATATAGATAATCTAGATCTATATCTAGTCTATATAGAATATAGATTGTAGAACTCGCCCGGACCAGACAGGAAGAGGTATTCTGAGCATTGTACAGCTATTATTATTGCATAGAACACTCAGAAACGTTCTTGGCTTCCCGGGAAGCATACCAGGTCTCTTTTCTATTTCTTTGTTAAGTTAGGATTAAAGAAAAGAACTGGAATGTCTACAAACCTCGCCCGAAACAGATAACGAATCATCAAAAACAGCAGCAGCGGCTCTGGTTGCGTCGTCTGCTACAGAACCGTCGCTGCTCGTATCGGTTATGGGGAACGCTCTGTTGAATTCTACATCCGATTTACTTGTGGCTGGTTTAGGACAGACAAATCTCACATGTGCGTCTATGTTGCAAATAAGTGCAAAAATCAAAACGAGTGAAAGGACACAGAGTGTCATCGTATACATCACAAAGCCAGGAACCATTCGTACACAATAAGTATATTAGCAACCATGACCCGGATGTAATCATAAATTGCGAAACAGGGAACTCTTTTGTACAGGGACTGCTTCTTCTTTCTGCAGAGTCGCAATTTTACTCTTCTCTCTTCACAAGAATATTATGTACATGTACAAGGTTGTGATGAGAAATAGGCTTGTTTAGTGCTTTAGCCCCACCGAAACCGACAGGAATAACTTTCCTTCTTTTTTAATTTGACAGAGATAGGCACACAAAGAGAAAGGGGAGAGAGAGAGAGAGAAAGAGAGAGAGAGAGAAAGAGAGAGAGAGAGAGAGAAAGAGAGAGAGAGAGAGAGAAAACTTGAACGCAGTGCAGAGTTGCACAAATGCTTTTTTAATGTAAAGAAAAGAGAATGCGTGATAATATCTATAATTTAAAGCTGGTAAATACTGCATATATATATAGGCTGTTTTTAATCTCAGAGACGAACGTGAAAAGATCAGACAAGTCCAACAGTTCAAACATTAGGATGTATAGGTCTACAAGTATTCCTATAATGAAGAAACCCGCGTGAGCCGCTCACTGTTACTCACATTGAGGATCAGATGATGATGATGATGATGATGATGATGATGATGATGATGATGATGATGATGGTGATGATGATGATGATGATGATGATGATGAATCCTTTGAACTATGCCCTTATCCCTTTAGAACTGAACCTATTAATTTTAATCTGGCTAGCCATTACAGCGCAGCACTGAATCTAACCGACTGAATAAAAAATTAATCAAATTGAATCAAACACGCATAGATCTTATATATTCGAACCTAGGCCTACAGATTCTGGGACGCTTGAGTGGATATAAACGCCTGGAATATCGTTCTCTCGCGGGGAGAAAGCAGGCAAAAGAGGCAGGGGTAGACCAAGAACGACTTAGGCTGCTTGGAAAACGTGAAGAAATGATTGACGCAGAATGACCGGGATAATACAGGATAAACTAGGGTTTGTTTGCTGTTGTTGTTGTTGTTGTTGTTGTTGTTGTTGTTGTTGTTTGTTTTTTTTCCTCGAGAGAATGCGAGCATAGAAATCATGAATGGCTAACCGGGACTTGAATATTGCTGATGCCCGTTTCAGACCTGGCGCTTGATGCTG